CGGCACCAGAGTCTGCAGGTACATCAGGCGCTGCAGGCAGAACTTAGGCCCATCAACTTTATGGAATAGGTTTCCTTGGCTCTAGAGAGCCGGCTCACCCTTTTATGTTCTGGCCACCTGAGTACTCAGCAATGAACCGCAATCCTCAGGCAGATGGACCAGTTTTTAGTTGCACAGAGAGTCGCTATGTGTGATATCCTGCAAGTCCATACTGCCCTCTTGGTAGGAGTAGTTTCGGTCAAGCGGAAGGCAGGACTAAGTCAGTGCATCCTATTCTACTTCAGCTGGAGATGAGTTTGATCACCTGTGGAGAAGGCCCTTGGCGGGTGACCGGCTCTTTGGTGGCCGGCTAGCTGATGCAGTGAATGGTTTGTTGGTTGCTGAGGATCAACGTAACCAATTGAAGCAATCATTCATGTTGGCCAAAGTTGCTAGCCTTTTCGGCCAGCAGTTCAAACCAAAACTGCAGGGCGGCTCAGGCAATATGTCCCGCACTAAGGACCAGAACCAGCGAGGGTCTAAGTGCTTGTGGTCTAATTCTAAGGGGCAGAAGAATATCGGTAGCAGGAAGCGTCTGGGGGCCAGGGAGCCTTGAAATCTTTTTGAAAGCTTCACCGGCTGCCTGGATGGTGGAGCTCTAGCTTCGAAACACCGTCCAATACTTTCCATCAGGCCATGCCTTGAGCAGCACACACCAGTTTAGCACAGGTGAGTTTCTGACCTTTGGACGCTCACAGTAGTAACTTGGGGTATCAGATTCCACTCCGGTCTCCTCCTCCTCTGACTCCTCATCCTCCTTCTGGTCTTCTACTGAGAAACAAGGTCAAGGCGAAGATGATCTGGCAGGAAGTAGCCAGCCTTCTGGAGAGGAGGGTTATGCCTAGTGAAAAACCCCCATTTAGACCCAGGGTTCTATTCCCACATCATCCTCATTCCAAGAGTTCGAGGGGTGGCGTTCTGTCCTAGACCTCAGTCGGCTAAACAGGTTTGTGGAGCTCAATCACTTCCAGATGGAAACACCGGCTTCAGTGCTTTTGTCGTCAGGTGATTGGCTGGCGTCGCTGGCGCATAGAGCGCCCCCGTCCAGAATCCAGCGATCCATATTTACACATCCCCATTCACCACACTTGCAGCTGGTATCTTAGATTCAACTTAGAGGGCGAAGTTTATGGGTCCCACATCCTAGTTTTTCTGGGTATGCGGTTGAACAC